GGCGGGGGGGGGGGTGGAAAACACTACTGTTATAATGTTGAGGCTGGGAGTGCAGCAGAAGTTCACCATTAATATTTATTTAAAAATCAGCAGGAAAGAAGTTGGTAACTCTGGGGGTAGCTGGCCCACATTGTGGTGGTCAACATTCCCCGACAGCTTAAGCCGGCTTAAATCTCTTGTGCCGTTTTCTCCTGGTTGATCTTCCGTACGCCATCATAATACAGTGTGATGTAATCATTCATCTAACATCAATAACGGAGGGAGAGTGTCGGAGAAACATACTTTTTATCGCGTATTTTAACTATATCTCGATGATTCTAATGAAATCATCATCAGGCGGATTGCTGGGACAAAGGAAAACATGACCGTCCTCCGGTACTCATTCTAAAAATAAAAAAAAAAAACAACCTGGGAATATATTTGAAGGCAACAGCAATGAAATTCGCACTTACGATTTATAATATACTGTAGTATCAACATTCATATTTTTGATATACAGTCAACCCGTGCACCACTGAATTAATTTGTGCAAGTTCGATTATTTCATTTGCACGGTATCTGAATTCATCATCCGTTGAAAGCAATTTTTTTTTTTTTTACTTTCACCATTAATTTCGAATCAACAGAAGTCTGTGGAGTGGATTTAATGCATTGCGTGGGAGGGAAAACTGCCTCCAGAGGCGGTCCGTTGTGCAGGAGGTCCAGTGTGCGGGAGTCAGCTGTATTCTGTTCCCCCGAACATTTGAAACATTTCACAAAATTGTTTGCGTTTCATTTAAAAATAAGATTTGTGAATGAAGAATTGTTCCCATTTATTAATTTGGAAAAACGTTCTGACAGGAAGAGCGTTAGCTGGCTTTTGTCCTCAAAAAAAGATCCCAAACTGGACGAGCAGAAAGCTACACAGCATGTTGAACGAAGTGCATCAATTTCTTTGCAAAAGAAAAATTTTTTGTACCATTGAAATGACGTGGAGAATGAAGAGAAAATACTCCACTTTCCCACCGTTGTAATTATTCACTAGATATTTCGATCAAAACGCCTCATGAACATTTCGAAAATAATGGAAACACATTCACATAATAGATGAAGGTATTTCAGCTGGAGAATTTTGGATTTCTGTACATGAAACGCGATTTATATCACAGAAAATTCAAACATCACCAATTCATAAACGCAATTTTTTTGACAATGAAAGATCATGGTTACATATGATGAGTATTACGACGATGGTTTTCAAGTGTTGATCGACTATAACTGGTAGCTCGTTGGAAATAGTTTTCGAATCGACACAAAAGTGGGAGAACTTGATTTTTTATTGATTCGCCGTCGTCTGTAGTTTAAATTATTACTGCAATAAAATAATCTGAAGCGAAACTGTATTGTGCTTCTGCATCATCTTCTGATTGTGTTAGTTTACTCATTTCTATTTATAAATTTATAAGATTTCCGATGCCTTGAGTCTAATTTTGTTTTCGATGCATCTTTCTGTTCTCTTTATTTTTATAGTGCGCCGCATTTTCTGATTCATTATTACGTAGATCATTTTCAAAGCAGTGCTTCGAGAAAAATGCGATTCCATTAGTGATTGACTTATAGTCAGATGATTCTAGAGAGTGTGCCTGAATCCGCGAATGGTGTCCGTCATTGGTCAGCGCCGATTGGACGATAATTGAGGCGATCAAGCCCCGCCTCCATGTTCGGGGCGGCCACCAATGCAGCGGATGGCGGCGGTAGTAGCGACCACGGACTGCGGCGGCAAACCCGAAGCGTCGTCAGTCATCTTGGCTCGTGTAGTGGCGGCTATGGCACATCGTCATCGTCGACATCCTACGATGCTCCGGGGCTGCGTCGCTTTAGTGAGTTCAGTATACAGCATACGCCTGCTAATCAGTTGATAATCCTGACTTAATACCTTTATGTATGCGTACACGTCAAACATTCCGATCTACGCACTTGAACGCATGTGGACGTGAGGAAGATTGATCTCTAAAACATTCGGTTCAATTACTTTTGCGAAGTTCTGCGGGCTTCGACGTGGTTTTTTTTTTCTTCTTTCTACAGCTTCTTTGTTTGATAAATGTAAACGGAATACACTTGTGGAATGTACTCAGTACTGAAGCGCAGTATATCATTGCCATACGAGCATGCAACTAACGAGCTATGCACTGCTCTAGCCGTGGTGACTTTTTATATTGTATTTGACTGGCCCTTTCCGGAGGAGAGAGTGCACCATCTAGTAACAAAAAATGAAAAGATTCACCGATGAGTTTTGTCGACAGTTTCTAGAGTTCTGTTCTTGTCATTTTTCTGGATACGAAGTCAATTATTGTATATAATCAGGATTAGACAGTTTCTGCGATTCAGGATAGGTATGTGCGAAACCCAACAGTTGTCAGTTTTCGTGGACAACAAATGTAGCTATTTGAGAAATTAGAGACGCACACATATGGAAAACTCGAGTTTGATTTTATTTTGACTGACGAGATATGAAGGAATTTGACTTTTTATACTGTAGTTCAATGGCCTGTTTCTCATCCAAACTCGTCAAAATCTTCAACAAAAATTATGCAAAAAATATGCGAAGGCTCCGCTATGAAGTTACATACAATTCAATAACTCGTTTCCTTATTTTTGTCTATTTTTCAATCCACAGCAACACATTTTCTGAAGCCAACTCACAATTTCAGTTGGAAAGTTTAAACATGATTTTTGAATTTCAAGAAAAGTACTTTCTAGTGCAGCTAAACTAAAAAAAATTGTAAGCCCTGGTAGCCTGGTTAGTTTAAAAGGGTTTGACATGTTTTATTTAATTTTTTGAAATGTTTATCAATCACAACAAGTACAACACGTCTGAAGCCACAAAAAGGGCTCATGGCAGATGGGGTGTAAAAAAATTATTTTCAAAATTTCTTGAAAATGTGTCACAAAAGTTCTTTATCTTGAATAAACTTAATTGCTTGGTTGAGCATGCAAAAGTTATACTGAAAACATGTAAAACAAATTTTTTTTAAAATTTGAAATCAATTTTTTCAATTTTTTCTCTTATAGTCATAATAATGACAAATTTGCTTGAACATTTGTTTCAAGATGCCCATGCATTATAGCTTTTGAACTTCATCCAACAGCCGGAACATTTTGAAAAATTACTTGGTTTATAGGTTGGATGATGATCATAAAGTTTTTAGCTTTAACAAAAAAAAACTCTCAGAAATGTTTGGAAAATCAAACAAAATATTTATGGATTTCATGCCTACTGGCATTTTAGCATCTCAAATGAATCAGGAGATGTGTTGGCACTCACATCTAACTAACACTGATACAATTCAGGAAAAAAATGAAAAATTTTTTCTAAAGTATTGAAGACTTTTTTATTAGTAAATAAGAACGTGGTACCTGCTGTGAGCCTCATTTGGGGATCAAGTTTAAAATTCAAATATTTGACAAAATTTTGAATTTAAAATTTGCAAAAAAATGTCCCCAGCCTATCTAAATGTAAATGAAGTTAAATAATGCAAAAATCCGTGTGTAGGAAATTTGGCAGTTAATGGGTTAGTCATGACTGAACTTGTGGATTAACCCTTTTAAAAGTCTGAATCTGAACAAACAAGTGTCCATTCATCTCACAAGGGCTCCTCTTTTCTTTTTCTTTTTCCTTCCACACCTGGTTTGATTTCCTGCTCACGCGGCTGGGGTTCGAATATATGTAGGCGAGGCGTCGCGGGTTTCGACGAGGCGTGATTGCTACCCGGACTTGATGTTGCCAGCTGTCGACGAAGCCGACACTTTCGACGCCATGCTGGGCATGAGTGACGACGATGACGCCATGCCCAATGCGACCAGCGATGGACGGTCGTCGACGAGTCGACGGGGATCCAGTCGGGCAACCAGAAAGCAACTGGGACTTCCCCCGGCTCGGTGCTGGGACCCTGTTTTCACCTGTGAGTCTCGTTTCTCACGACTGACATTTCATCAATTGAATGAATGAATGAATCACGCCAGGAATCAATTAATGCTAGCATTTGGTTTATGCATTGACGTATGATGCGATTGATAATGTCATCTTTTCGCAAACCCTGTCGTGAAGTTTTGATCAGCAATATACTGTACACGAAAAAAATTCTAATCACAAGAAAAATGTCCAGGGATCGAACTGTAAATTCGCGATAAAGGATTCGTCAAATAGAAATTCGTTCTCTGAAATAATTTAAGTTTCTTTAAAAACAAAGAAAATTCCTTTTTTATTCGAGAAAATCATGAAATTTTCGAACAGCATGCTAATGAAACAAAATTTCCACGAATACAAAATAACGTGTTTTCTCAGCATAATCGAAAAAAATGTTCAACTGTGAAACATGTTTTTCAGAAGCAAGCAGTGGCAGGTATTATTTCATCGATTCAAAGTTCTTTTCTTTACAGCACGATTGTTCAATTGGAAAAAAATGAAAACTAGAATCCAGTTCCCCAAGCTCAATATGATCCAGATTTTAGGTATAAAACTATTGAAAATTCCTCGGAATTCTTCCACTCGTCCTAATTACGGCGATTTGTATCAGCTGAAACTGAATTTATTGCAATTAATAAACTCGTGAATTTCTTTTTCGGAGAACTTTCTGAAGTTCAAATATCAGAAATGAGCTAAATAGGAACGTTCAATAGAATTATTTGAATACAATTGATCTGATCCTCACTAAAATTCGGATTTTCTGCATGGAAAATCTCTCAAAATTCTTCCATTCGTCCTACATTTATACTCAAATTTAGTTACTCAAAACTTTCAATTGAAAAAAATGATTGAAATTCCCAATGCTCAATCTAATCCAGGTTTTCTGTATAAAACTATGGGAAATCCTTCAGAATTCTTCCATTCGTCTCGATTACCTCGTTTCGTATAGGGCTTTTCTTAAATTGTATTCAAAAATAATTTAAAAATCATGAAGAAAAAACGTGCATTTTTTAAAACTTTCTTTTTCAAACTGCTGTGTCTCTGAAATATGCAGTCGCCTTTAACAATGAAAATATACAGAAAGATATTGCGTATAGGCTGAGTTGCGACGCATATATGATGCGAATATGCTCCGCATGTTTCTCGCAAGTTCTGCCAATTTTTGCGCGTTGCGTAACAACGTCATTGGGACACGAGTGTCCCAATATAAGGCATGAATTGTTAGATGATTTCGTACGTCTGTGTGGGAAGAAAAGTACGAGTGTCGAGATTCGTTACTCGGTGTGAGACAAGGGAGACATATCCAGGCTCCGAAGGGAAATCAATCCCGAGGAAACCCTTCCATATCCACCAATAAATGCAAGAAAATGGAAAAAACGAAACCAAAAGTCTAAATAACGAGAAAAGAGAAAACAGAACTTCATTTCCATTCGGAATTTTGTGGGGTATATTCGCGGACACATGAATATTTCATTGCTGGTTCTTGGCGTGAATTTCTGCCCAAAAAAACATGCATGACAACTGGGCTGTGAAAATTTGGACTCACTTTCAGATGAGAACAGACGCAATTTAATCGAAATATTCATGGTCCAGATGGAAATATTTCAATACCCAACTAAATAGTGTCTGAGATTTTGCCCTTTATGCTTTGATTGAAATGTGGCGAGCAGGGTAATCAAGAAATAGCTGAGATCAATTAACATTCCAGCAATGAATAAATATGTTTCCGATCTTCTCGCACCTATTGGTTGAATTGAATTGCTTGAAATATTGCACATCATTATCAAGTATAATTAATTCAAAATTATCAAAATTGTATTGCTGGTTTTCATTCTCACCAAATAAAATGTAACACAGATGATTTGCCATTCGTCCTGCACAAAATGTCAATGAAATAATGAAAAATTCGAGATTGAAGTATAATTGGAACATTAGAACTCCTATTTTGTCAGCCATCAAGACTGTCTTGGCTTTTTCAATTAAAATTGTCGATGAAAACTTGGCCTTTTGCGCACAAACAAACAATTTGCATATCGATTTGCTGAGAGATTATTTTCACCGTAGTGATATTGAAACTTTGAAAATTTCTCAAACAATGTTCAAGTAACATTCAAAATTGATACAATTCACGACGAAATTTTAATTCGGGCGTGTTTTATTTCCAGAATATTCCATTTTTTGATTTTTTAAAGATGGATCTGGGGATACTTCTTCATCCAAATTTTGGGACCAGAAACTCAGATGGATGAGAGTAATCATGGTATTTTAATTTGAATACTGTGTTCCCTTGAAAACATATGCATTTTTTCTCTCAAAATATAGAGGAAAAAGTGGATGCAACTGTCATAGGTCATACAATTTTCGAAAAATGTTTGAAGTTTATAGGTCACTTTCGAATATGACGACTGAAAATAATAGACGGGAACACGTCAAAATCAAAACAATTCAAATTTATTCGAATCCCGGTTGAATTCATGTCTAACTTCGAGTTCTGATTCGACTTATTTTTCAAGTATCTTATTTTTTGAGTCACCAAAAATGTGGCGTACGTCTTATTCGGGGATGGCGTTTAATCAAAATTTTACGTTGAAAATGCGGGTGTATGTCGTATCATTCGAGGGCATGTACGTACTGTAGTACTAGCACTCGAGTATCAAAACGGTATGGGCATATCACAAAAGTGGTACAGTATCAGCACACATGCACCCAAAATTTTTTTTTTCAAAATGCCTGCCTGACTGTTATGATCAAGAGGCTGGATCGAACCAAGCAATAAGCGTACTTTCGCAACAAGAAAACATAAATAAATAAAATACTTGGCCCCGAAACCTGGACGTGTGCGGATCCCCTGAGTATTTATTCGTCCCCGGATGTTTCCATTGCTGGCCGTGAACGGAAAGATCTGTCAGGCCGGGGATTGGAGGATCAATCTCAATTGTCGATAAGGAAATCTGGTGGGCCTCGTGCAGGCGGGAAAATGAATCGATCCTTTCCACTCGCGGCTGATGGGCATTAAGCGGGATTCATGGCAGTCCATGTGCCAAAGAGCCCAGTCCCTGTTGGGCATATTTCCTCTTCTTTTCTCATTTCTTTTTTCTCGTGTTTCCAAAAAAAAAAAAGCAGGTGAAGGAGAAGAATACGTGGTTGGGTCAAGTCAGTGTGGAACCCGACTGAGTGCTGCCCAAACTGTGCGTCGCGACAACTGAGCGCCACACCAACTGCGCGTGTCAACTCATCTTGCAATGCGGCGGAATTTCTTTAGATAATTTAGAAGAAATGAGAGGATTGATTTATATTCACAATAAAAATATTTTTGAAGGCTTTTTAAATGCTGAGAATTCACACCGCAAGACCGAATGAATTTGGCGTATTTTTCGAGCACTTTTTTGGCGCAAAAGTAATAGATCAAATGTGTGCTGAGCGATGAAATGATTTTTCTCCCATGCAAAAAGATGAGAAGATTCGCGTTGATTTGATGACTCTATGATGGAATTGATTTCTTTATTGATTTAGAAGATTTCTTTGCCATTCATCAGGATGCAATAGGTTCGAAAATATTTTCAAATACAGCATTTCTCATTTGAGAAGGGGAAAAATTATTCATTATGTATACTCGTACTGAATATGGATAGTAAAAGAAAATACATCTCAATACTGTGCATAGAAATGCAGTGCATGAATAACACAGATGCATGTGTTGTCATCTTTCTTTATGGAAAAATCAGCACATCACAAGGCAATTACTATGCACAAATTGAAGCACAAGCTAGTGCTCAGCTCATTCTCAAATAATTTTAATCGAATAACACTTTTAGAACGAAACGACAGAATCATACAAAGGAAATAGTTTTTCCTGGTCCTAAAAGATTTGGGACACGATATTTTTTTTATCAAGTTCTGATAATCCTTGGTCTTCGAAAAATTCATTGCTGTTGCTATAGGCATAAGAAAAAATGTAATGCGAATTAAAATGCATAAATATTAAGTAAACCCCTTTGGTTGTTCAGGACATAGAGGGATAAAAACATACTTTTACAGTTGGGCCAAAAAAGATCCGAATATAATTAATTTTAGTCTGTGTCCGTATGTCAAATCAATCATCCAAATATTCTATCAGATTTTCCCGTAAAACTTCAACGGTCACATTTTAATCGTAGCTCATGTTGACAAAAATTTGAGGAAGTCCTCCAAAAATTATATTACATGTATTTATTGATTTGAAAACGCAGACATTTGATGTGCAAAAGAAATTTTCCCATTGGATGAAGGTGATCGATTGAATGAGAGAACCTAAGGTTTTTTTTTTTTCCGAGCGAGAGAAACACGTGAGGTAAAAAAAAATACACGACCTTGTTCAGTTCGTACTTCCGTGTTCTTTACTATCATTTTTTCAATGAACTTATTTGGTTAAAAAAATGGAGAAAGGTCTGCAAAATTTTCATATATATACCATTTGTTTCTTTACTTCTAAATAACGCATAAATATGATGTGCAAAAGAAACCTTCAAATTCGGTTCCACCAAACCAGTTGGATGATCACACGGAAGAGAAGAACCCAAGAGGGTACCCTTTTCTGAAGAATAGAAACCCGTGAGGTAAAAAAAAATACATGAACTTTGCTTAGTTCGGAAACCCTGCTTTGTTCACTGTAATTATTTCTCTGAACTTCTGTTCCATTTGTTGCTGAATGCGATCTATTTTCCACTCACCTGTATTTTCTCAGATGCGTTTCTTCCAGCCGAAGTACCTTGAAATGTACTCAGTACTGGAATGATGTGTCTCAGTCTCAACTGCACAGCTGATGCGCTCGTCTGTGGCTGGTCGAAATTTACATGTGCAGGAATTTTGGAGAGTATCACAAGAATCCAAGATGTATGAATCATTTTTTTTATTGGATCTGTGGCCGGAAGTTGAAATTTTATGCAATTGAAAAAAACATGGGCATTTGCGAATGGTCAGAAAAATCTTTGAATCCTTTCTATATGCCGGACAAATCCAGTTGTTTCACGTAAACTATTTTGAAATATTTTCTTAAAATGTACATTTTGGTTCGGCGATCGAGTATAGGCTTAAAAGATATTAACCCGACTGCTCATTTATTTCACATATTCAAAAATTCGCATTCAGAGCACTAAGCCCCATGAAATAGTGCAAATGTTCCTATTCTGAAGAAGGGCATCCTCAATCATTGATAATTTTCACGATTCCTGAAAAACAAATTGTGGAATCTCCCAAGTTTAGGTACTGCATATTGGATGAGCATATGTGTAAATATTGATTCGGCTTCCTACTAAGTACAGTGAGACTTGACACTTGAGGTGAAGACATACAGTGAGACCCCCACATGCGGACACCTCGACAGAGGCATATTTTTTTCATTGAAAAATCATAAAAAGGCCAGGCATGAGGACACTGACTTGACATGACGACATGGCATGATAAAATCGCCAATAGATTTTAGGAAAATTGACTTTTATTAGGCTTAATTGCAAGAAACAAATGTTTCCAACCCTCATATACGTAAGATCTGTGTAAGAAAAAATTATTTTGAACTTTTCCCATCACTTTTCCGTCCATTCAGCTAATTAAAAAATTACCTGTAGCATAGAAGGGCTTCCTTCTCTTTTTGTGACTTGGATGTAATTTTTACAAATGCCAACATTTTAATGAACTCTACAGTGGTTTACTATTCAATGCTCCAAATGTTATTATTAGGTGGAAAATATATTCAATGAATAAAATTCAAGAGTCAAGCAAAAATTTTTTTGATGGAACATCGAAGTTATTCTTTCATGTCCAACAGTTAAACTTTGTTTTATTATACAAGGCTTGATATATGAAGCATAGAATAAATTGTATACATGTTTCCAGGAGGCTCTTCACCAGCAATGAAAGATAATGTTCTGCTATCACTGCTATGTTTGACCGGATATTCGTCCAAATAAACTGTAATTCCTTGCTTTACTGGAATTATTGTTAGATTGCAGGCGTTCCTTTTTTCATGCTTCATATGAGATATTTTTTATTTCTCCCCCATGGAAGATCAAGAATATGAGCGAGATACTTGATAAGATGGTCATGCAAGATCCAACACAGGACAGAAGCTCGGAACATAACCGTATATTTTCCCATGTACCTCTACAACATACAGTACATTTATTCATGATCACCTCTAGAATTTGAGAATTATTCGTCCAGTCATTTGCTAGCTTATATACGTATGAAGAAATTATACTGAGAAACCAGTCATCGTCTACAGCAAAGGGTATCTTGTCTTTTGACTCAAGATCCCCTATTTTGAATGAATTTTTTGATGACAAGTACTGTACACATTTTTCTGGGGAAAAATCCTGAAACCAAAGGTGCGAATCCTTCGCGTTATTTCTGCAGGTAAAAATAATGAACAGGAAATAAATACTATTAAGAGCCAACCCCCTGACCATAATTTATGGTATGTGTTCTAATTATAATATATATGACATCGGGTGGAGACATCTGGAGATTAGGTTCTTTCGGCGAATAATTTGCAAAAAATTGAGTGCTCATCTTACATGAGGTACTCCAAGGAATGTATGCCAAAGCACTTTTGGCCTACATAGTTTTCTTTGTTGTGCTCGAAAATATCAAACCTTGTCATCATTGTCCTTTCTTCGGCGTCTGGCTTAACTTTTTAAACACTGTCGACAAAGAAATAACTTTCGAATCTATAAAGTATACCGTATATAAATTGTTTTTGAAGCAAGAGCATAATTGTCAACGTAGCTATAACAATATATTAAATAGCGGTAAGATTTTCTCTAAACAAATTTTCGCTCGATGGTAAATATAGCATGATTCTGGAGTTTAAAAAATTAGCTTTCAAACAATGCTGAGTCGACCACAAATTTGGTGCGTCGAAAGAACTGGAAAATGTGAAAAAGTGGCGCTGTACATAGAAAAACTTCATCACAATCAATAATCAAACAAGTCTGTCTGTTAAATTTTTAATACGTTCGGAAGTGATTAAAAGGATAACGTCTTCATAAAAAAGTTTTCTTATTCCTCTATTTAAAAAAGGAAGAGATCGTAGTACTTGAGGTGATGACCAGCAGGATAAAAGCGAATAACCTTCGTTACACAAAAAAATGACTATAAAAGCGATAGCTTTGTAAAAACTTTTGCGTAAACTCTCATAAAACTGCATTCCTGTGACCGCGCAAGTACCGAACATTTTTACATGCGTATAAAGATATTATCGCATTTCATGGGAATGCATGAAGAAAATTCAAAGACCGTTGACGTTGGCAGTTGAAAATTATTTATTAAAAAAAAGAGATTCACTGCTTCTTGTCTCAATAGTGAATTGGACATGCGATGGGACACAGGAATATTTGGCACACAGCAAAGGTCTTCAAGCGCAAAATGTTCTTTGTTGCTCTTGACATTCTATACCAATCTAAAACTGACGGGTTCACTTTTAAAATTTCGCGGATGTCTCTATAATCTTCTGCCTTTTTTTCTGGCGAGAAAAAAGGCAGAAGATTATAATTTGCTACTATGATCGATTTTCCTAGTTTCACTATAGTGCATTTTGTCAGTATTTTGTGCCAAAATTTTATTGAATTTTCAGCTAGATGTTCATTCTGTTGTGAAATACGCATTTGAACATACGTTTACGTGGTTAATGTCATGTTTTCAAACCTACGATGCAACTGACAAGTTCCTAAAGCTGTTCTATAATAAGAAAACCCAATGCGGGATTAAATTCGAGGTACTATAAAGCAAGACAAATTATTTAGGAAAACTGATTAACAATGATCATCCCAGGACTGGCGGCAAATTTCTTTTGGGAATCCTAAAAAATCCGCCATTTATTTGGTCTCAACACGAAGTCAATCAACTCGCTGAATTCTGGATTTTTCACACAAGTAATTTCACCCAGACGAGTATAAGCTTATCGGATAAGATTTTTTTCAAGGATCAACGCAAGGTTTTTGATCTCCGTGATTGTTGTTCAAAATTTTTCGAAAGGATGATGAGTGAAATCAAGTTTTTCGGGTCAAATGTAAACTAACTTTGAAGTAGATTTTCTCGCACTTCACTTTACTATCTTCTCAGTAGCTTTTGGGGTGAACTTAAATTACTTCTGGTTTCGCCAGGCTTTCTTCAGGACATGCTATTTTGTCTGAAGCTCCCAAAGCCAAGTACTGGTTTTAGAGGGGGTTTT